TTTAGGTTTCCCCACGAAGTTATTCTCGACCACTTTAACGGACACGTGGTAAGTAAGCACGTAAAATTTTATATAAGAGGAGGAAATCGTACACATTTTGCTACCGTGCCATGATGAAATCTAACGGCGAACTACACGGCTCTCGTACTGTTTAAATGCAATTTATAAAAACTGAAAATAAACTTGCATGATTTTTGACCACAGTCACATTACTTTTATTTATAGGTAACCTACACTAACACCTACCTAGTAAATAAACAGCAAACGATGCCACGAACTATTCTATTAGAGATGAAAGTTTCACAGTACACCTAATTTTCAATTATTTATACATCATCTATTCAGTAGCATTCTATTATATAATTTTATCAGTGACTTATAATGTTAGTTTATTAGAAGTAAGTAGAGGCTCTATTATTTATTACATGAAATTATGAAAGACAAAACTAAAATATCTGGTAATATCAGCGATAGAAGCGAACATTTATTGTATCAATAAGGCATAAAGCGATGTCAATTCTTTTAAATGGTTCTGTTTCTGTTAAAAAATACGCTATAACAGCGCCGCTAGCGGTGAAAAACGATTGCACGATATTTAAGCGGTAGAGCCATGGTGCAGCTATTATTGTGGTTGCAACACTAATGGCTCGGCTCGATCAGAGTAGGACCACGCTCTCACAGAAAACCAGCTTAAAGCTGCAGTGTTTCGTATGGTTAGTGTAAAGAACCGGAGACCCTTTTTACTGGAAACGAGGCATTCCATCTCATTCCTCAGGGCTGGCAACGCATCTACATTTTGATTTTTAATTGAACATAAATGTAGATGTCAATGAGCCATAAGTTCCACTAACAATCAGGTGAACTGTGTGCTCGTTTATCACACTTATTCTATAAGAAAAACGATATGACCATAATTATCATGAAATACCGATGTAGTGTTTAGTTAGTAGGCCCAATCCCCCGCCCCCATCAACATGGTAGTGGAATTAAATGCAAGACTACCCCAGGAGGGTACCAGCACTCCTGGAGAATCCCTCGCTGAGCATCCACGACCAAGCTCAAGCTATTCCACTCCTGAGCGCAGAGCAGGCTGCCCCGCGTATTCATTAGGGGGGGGGGGACAAAATTCCGCTCGAGACTAACCTGCTCGAGGCAAACCGAGCAATAAGTCAAAGGCGCGCCCTGCCACGCTATCCGTGAATTTCTGCAACATCAGGGTACTTCATTCAACCCTTAACGCCGTCCACTTCTATCTGGAAACGATGAAGCCGGCCTTTCTCTTTCTAACCGAGACACAGGTGTTCTCTCCGGCTGATACTTCGTATCTCTCCTACCCGGGGTACAAATTAGAACATTCCTTTGTGCCCCGGGCTGGAGTTGGCGTGTACGTCAGAGATGATATCTGTTTCCGACGCCTCGGCAGCCTTGAAGGTACGGACCTGTCCATCTTATGGCTGCGCGTAGACAGCGACGACCATCCCCGCGTCTGTGGGTGCCTCTATAGGTCCCATAGCGGTAATGCCGAAACAGACCGACTCATCGACCAAGTCCAAATGGCTACAGACTTCGTGCTACAACAGATCCCATCCGCAGAGATCGTGATACTTGGTGATTTTAACGCCCACCACGCTGAATGGCTTGATTCTCGTTTAACCGATTATGCGGTTAGATCTATTTATGACTGCTTTGGCATATGGTCTGACACAACTGGTTACCTCGCCTACGCGGATCCCAGATGTGGAAGACCATGTACATTCCCTGTTGGGCCTTCTGCTGACCTTTCATCCGGACGGATATCAGGTCTCCGTCCATACCCCTCTTGGCTCCTCGGACCATTGTCTGATCCGGAGTACGGTGCCACTTACGCTCTCATCGCTGTTGCGTACTGCAGGTTTCCGCCGTGTTTGGCAATACCGGTCAGCACTTTGGGACGGGATGCGATCTTTTTTGCATCTTACCGTTGGGGGCGGGTTTGCTTCTCGCCGGATGATCCCAGCGTTTTTGCTAATTCTGTTGCTGATGTGGTGCCACAGGGAATAGAACTTTTTATAGAGGCAGAACCCAGCCTTGGTTTGGTCGGTCCTGCAAAATTGCACTACGTCATAAGCAAGAGTGCTGCCAGGCCTGGGCTCGCGCATCGACGTCTCGGGATGCAAACACCAGCGCTCTTAAAAAGAAGTACAATTCTGCCTCCAGGTCCTTAAAAAGTGTCATTGTCAAGGAAAAGTCAGAACACATTTGCAGAATTGACGAAAAACTTGTTCGTCTTCCTTCAGGAACACGTGAATTCTGGTCTCTCGCCAAGCCTGTCCAAGGAAACTTCTGTCAGCCATCTCTCCCATCACTGCACAGGGAGGACGACTGACTGGCCCATGCCACAAACGACAAAGCTGATCTGCTGGGCTCTCTTTGCGTCCAACTCGACTTTTGATGACGAGGGGAACACACCGCCGACAATCCCGGGGAGTGAGTGCTCCTTGCAGGATGTCCTGTTTACCCAACGCACAGTGCGCAGGGCATTCCTCTCCCTGGATGTCAAGTCGAGTGGGCCGGATGGCATCCCTCCTATTGTGTTGGAGACTTGTGCTCCGGAGTTGGCACCGGTTTTAACGCCTCTTTTCCGGTACTCCTACTCCCTCGGCGTAGTCCCGAAATCATGGAAGACAGCCCTCGTGTACCCGATCCCTAAAACTCTTCCGTGCATCTATGGGCCTATCGCCATTACCTCTTTGTTCTCTAAAATAATGGAACCCATATTAACAGCCAGCTCATCGCGGTCGCTCGTTGGTGATCTTCTGGGTTATCTAACTCGTGAATGGGCGGAGGCAGTAGAATCCAAAGCGTAGGCCGTTAGTTTGGACATAGCGAAGGCCTTCGATCGGGTTTGGCACAAATCGTTTCTTACGAAGCTTCCTTCCTATGGGCTTCCCGAGAAATTATGCAATTGGGTCACCAGTTTTCTTGCTGATCGGAGCATCATGGTCGTAGTAGACGGTGCATGCTCCGATTACAAGCCCATTAACGCTGGTGTTCCACAAGGTTGCGTGCTATCACCAACGCTGTTTCTTCTGCATATCAATGACACTGGTGCTTGAATGCTTTATACACCGGCCGTGCCAATATTTCTCGGGAAAACGTCGCAAAATACCGGGACAAACTTGTGTCTGAAGTCAAAACTTTTTTGAACAAAATCTCGACTGGGGGCGACTAAATCTAGTCCAGTTTAATCTCCAGAAGACACAAGTTTGCGCATTTACCACTAAAAAAAACTCCTTCGTATCTCCTCAGTTTGAAGGCACTCGCCTTGTTGCCTCAGCCAGTATCGGAATCCTCGGCGTCGACATATCGAGCGACGTGCAGTTTCGTGGTCACTTTTTTTATAGAAGAGGGGGCAAACGAGCATGCGGCTCACCTGATGTTAAGTGACTGCCGCCGCCCATGATCAACCGCAACACCAGGGGAATTGCAAGTGCGCTGTCGACCCTTTAGAAAGGAGTAAGCTCTTTTCTTGAAGGTCCTTAGGTCGTATCGGTCCGGAAAAATCGTCGGTGGTAAACTATTCCACAGAGAACTTACTTGGAAGAGAAGGCCAAATTGGCCTCTTAAAAGCTTGGCGTGCTTAGCGGAGTTGGACAGTATTTCATGCCGGCTCGCCGCCTGCAACTACACAAGGCGCAAGTTCGGGCGCACATAGAATACTGTACCCATCTCTGGACTGGGGCTCCCCAGCAGCTCCTTCCATTTGATCGCATCCAGTACAGAGCTGTTCGAATCGTCGGCGATCGAGCTCTTTCCGATCGGCTTGACTCATTGGCACTGCGAAGAGATGCTGCATCTCTTTGTGTATTTTATCTCATCTACCACGGGGAGTCCTCTGAGGAATCATTCAGACTAATTTTAAGAAGTTTTCCTCGCAAAACTTCCTTGTGAAATCGACTACCACCAGAGATTTTTCCGGACCGATACGACTTAGGGATCTTCAAGAAAAGAGCCTACTCCTTTTTAAAAGGCCGGCAACGCATCTGCAATTCCCCTGGTGTTACAGTTGTTCATGGGCAGCAGTAATCACTTACCATCAAGTGAGCCGTATGCTCGTTTGCCCCTCTCCTATACAAAAAAAGTTATTAATATCATCAAACGATCTCTATTCACATATTTATTTAAGCTATATCTTGACATGGTCAACAAACAGTGTTAAATATCATGAAATGACACTATTTCACGAAATGATGAACTACTTTATGATAAATGTCCAATTCTACGATCTGGCCACGAGCCACGACATATATAAAAAAATCTTTAATAAAACTATAAGGATAATGAAAATTTTAAAGTAATTGCAGGCAGACCATCCAGTCCTAATCAGTTTATATATCGATTAGCAATTGAAATAAAAACCATATCAATTTTCATATTTTTGACGTCATAATTATTTATTTAAATTATTACACTTGAAATAATATAAAGTAAAAACTAACTAAATTTTAAAAATCTAATTATTTAAATAGATATCAGATGTAAGCTCTTTATATTATTTAATTTATTATTACAAACTAAAAGCAAAATATACTACTTTTTTCCATTTCATGATAGATGGCACTGTTTTGATAACTAAAACGTAGATCGTCGGCGTATTTTCCAAGGTTGTAATTGAGTGAGGCTCACAGAAAATGTACCATAACACACAAGAACTTGTAACACACGATAACACACTGGAATTGTGTAACACATTGGAAATGTTGTTAAGCTTGATGCACATAAAGCAATAATAAAATTGAATTTCTAATAAAATACGATTATAGATAGAATTATTTACTTAATAAAACAACTTAAAAAACAAAGAGATCAAAATTTGTACTTAGAATTACACAATCGTATTATTTTGGCATTATTTGAATATTTATATATATATATATATTTTTATATATATATATATATATATATATATATATATATATATATATATATACTTATGTTATATCTACCTACTTGTAAATGTTCTACTCAAAATAAACCTTATCGCTAGGATCAGCTAAAAAGTATTCTTTTGGTCGTTTTGTGTTTTGTGTTATTTTAACCTGCTTAACTATTAAATCTTCAGTTACAGTGTCTTCATCTTTTATTTTGTGAATTACAAACTTTAGCTCCGGTTTTTTAATGGTTTTCAGAAATCGTATGGTAAAATAAGATTTTCCTTCTTTTTTAAAACTGTCTTCCAAGAATCCTATGTAATACTTCCACGCGGTTCTTTGATAATACCTTACCAGTACAGCGTCTTTGAAAGATAGCCTCCATATGTCTGTATTAATTTTTGATGTCACTTCCGAGTCATTTTTTGCATTGTCAAAGTTATTTTCATCATCCTGCAGAGTCGTAGCAATCACAGATTGTCCAGCTAAATTAGTTTTAACTACTCCCTGATTTTCATTAGAAAAAATGTTTATTTCTCTTGTGTCTTTACCAGTGTATGTATTTTTTTTATCTTCATGGCTTGATTGTTCTATTTTTTCTCTCTCTTTTTTACTTGTGTCTGATATTTTTCTTAAATTTGTAACGTTCTTCTGTTCTTTCAATTGATAATCCATATGATCCAGATAATCATCATCTAATAAGATATCATCTGTAATGTGATACTCTTCATCAGAAGTATCATGCACAGAAATCGTCATATCTTCGTCTGTACTGCTCTCCTCTTCCGTTTTAAGTTTCTTATTTGTTTTTATACACCTTGTATGTCTTTTATTTTTCTTTTGTTTGAACATTTCTTTATTTCGTCATGAGAATTTTCTTTCAAACTTTTGCTCGCAATGTCTGTTTTGAGCACTGACCTCTATATATACAAGTACGCTGGACTGGCTATACACCGTGACATGATGAAGCGATTTGATTTCCGCCATTTTGGCGCTGACAGCAGAAGTGCACGTCCACGGAACTAATAATAGGGATAAGACAGTGTACCAAATTATATCGATAAAAATTCTATACCCTACCTATACCTAAATAAATAGAATGGACTCTATGGATAGATGGACTCTACCCGTAACGTCCATTCCATTTGTGTATCATATTAATATAATGCCATTATTATTCATCATCATTAAAACCCTTCACAAGTCCACTGATGAACATAGGCCTCCCCCAAGCGATGCCACAAAGCACGCTCCTGAGCTAACTGCATCCATCAACTTCCTGCGTGTCTTACCAGGTTTTGACTCCATCTAGTGGGGGAACGTCCTACACTTCACCTGCCGGTACGGGCCTGCCACTCGAGAACCTTTTTTCGCCATCAGTATTCGGTTCTTCTAGCTATATGACCGGTCAATTGCCACTTCAGCTTACTAATGCATTGGTCGATGTCGGTCACTCTGGTTCTGCTGCAGATATCCTCATTCCTAAGTTTAAACCCCCGAGCATAGCCCTCTTCATAGCTCGCTGAGCGACTTCGAGCTTCCTCATATGGCCAGCAGTGAAATACCTCGTCTCAGATCCATAGGTCATCACTGGCAACACGCACTGGTTGTACAATCTAGTTTTCAGGTATTCCTGATGAGAAAATGTGTTGCAATCTCCCGAACGCTGCCCCGCCGAGTTGAATCCGTCGATTGACCTGTCGGTCGAAATTGAACTTACCTATTCGGACTATTTGTCCCATGTAAAAATACTTGTCAACAACTTCAGCTAAGTGCTCCCAAAAACTACCGGCAAAGGTGTGACATGGACATTACACATGGCTTTTGTTTTGTCCATGTTCACTTAAGGCCTATCAGTTGGGAGACACTATTGAGGTCATTGAACATAGTGCGTAGGTCTTCCAGCGATTCTGCCATAAAGACTATATTGTCGGCAAATCAAAGGTGAGTGACGTACACGCCATTGACGTTAATACCGTATCCTTTCCAGTCCAGTAGCTTGAAAACGTCTTCCAATGCAGTAAAGTATTTCGGAAATATTACGTCACCCTGTCTTACACATCTCTACAGTTGAATTAGTTTTGTACTCTGCTTCTGTACTCGGATAGCCATTGTAGCCCTTAGACCACTAAACAAAAAAATTATTAAGATTAAACTAACTGCACGAAAGAAAAAGAAAAACATAATTTCTAAAATAATTTATTGTCAACAGTTCATTTAGTTCTAGTATTATAAAAAACAAATCAGCTGCTATAATAACGCCTATTCTAATCAACTACAGGTCAGTCTATAAACAGTAAAATATTTTCTACTATATAAAAAAATATGTTTGTTCGTACTTTCTACGATGCCATACCGTTCATCAGATTGCGGTAAAACTTGTGCGAAGGTTATACGCATGGTACAATTAATTGACACTAGATGGTGTGCGTATTATAACTAACTATTTATTTGAAAGTTATAGTTATATATTATTCTATTTCAATGATTGTATTATCATTCCTAATTATACAATATAACTGCTCCACATTTCTAACGATATTTCCACAATTATTTCTTCTGCGGCAGCAATGCGCCGGGTACGAGCTAGCAAGATAATGTAAAAAATATAAACTTTGAATTACATAGTTATCAGTTATTTACAACGTCATTTTTGAAATTAAAATTACAATATTAAAAAAAATTAAAAATAACTGAAATATCATACAGTCCTACTTTCCGTAGTATCGTCCCAAGAATGCTGGCTACGTGTCCTCGTGTCTTCAAGCGAGGAAACAACAAACTAAACAACTTCTTATTACCAGCAGCGATTATCAGTCGCAGATACAGTTTTTTTAGGAACTACACAGCACGTGCACCCTATGGACTAATAGTCTCTACAGCAAATTGCACAAATATGTACTCATCTTCTAGATACTCTGGGCTATTTACTTAGTTCAGATGCCTCTAATGCCACCCCTGCTTTAGACGAGGTACCCCTGAGATGGGATGCTGTCAAAGTGTTCGCAAGTAGTATCGCACACTAAAGCTTTATCTCTCTCTCTCTCTCTCTCTATCTCAAGCAACCAAACCCATACTGTCGGGTCTCCTGGTATCGTCTCTAAATATTCTACAAAGAACTTAAATCGACGCAACATTCCCTTCCCTTACGACTCCACCTCGACTACAGCGGTACAGGGAAAGGAATCTCCTCTAGCCACAGCCCACTAACACACATCCAACGTGGCTCGACATCATCAGGCAACCTTTCGACACTTGGCTATGGCCCTTGAGTTTGGTGAAAATGAGGAAAGAAAAAAAGCATTCGAAATAATAATCTAATAATTTTATATTTACTGGTGCTGGTACTACCAGAAAAAATTGTCGGTATACTGCACTTTTTCAAAGCGGTGCAGTTCTCATGTCTAATAAAACAGTCGTCTGTGAAATGTTTGCAACAAATATGATCATTTTGTTTCGGACGCCAATTCACAATATTTATGCTTTTAAGTCATAATTTTAGTCTAGGTTTAGACGAAAACCTGTTAATTAATAAACATTTGATAATTATCTGTTGTTGGCGATTTTGTTTGTTAACAGATATGGGTAAGAAAGAACATCGATAAGTATTATAGACAAGGAACTCGACAACCCTATTGAATTTTATTGTTTATCAAAACTCAGTAATATACAGCCAAACATGTTGGTTTATATGATATTAAGATTAGTAACAAAATTTTAAGTACTTATGTTATCAAATAGTTTTAATTTGTTTAATATTTGCTTCAAATTCACTTACTTGTGAAATGTTATACCACTTCCCTTTTGGTAACGAGTTTTACAGACTACGCACACTCTCATTATTAATAAAATAATTCTTATTGTGTAACTAATATTATACACAATCAAACAACATAAAATACTTTCGTTTTTTAGTTCAAAAGTTCAAAATACAGACTTATTAAATAAGACAATATAAATAAGACAACAGACTTTGGCATATTATGTCAATTTTATTTTTCAAGACATCCTTTAGCGGCGCTTCAAATTGGCACAGTCATTTTGTATGGTATAGCCAGTCCAGCGTACTTGTATATATAGAGGTCAGTGGTTTTGAGGTTTATTTGTTTTAAATTGAATGGTCTATATTGTCTCAAATTAAAAATAAGACCTGTTTTCTTGAGTATTTTTAATGTCAGCTAATGCTGGTATAGACGTCTTAGACGGAATAGATTTTTCATTTAACATTTCTGTTTGCTTTAGCAAGTCCGCAGATTTCAGATTGAGACAGTCGCAAAAACCTGGTCTACTCTTTTCGCAGAAGCAACTTAAACAACGGTAGGACATAGAGTTAGCTGAGTCAACATTGTTAATAATCTGATGTATTTTCATCGTGTTTGGTACTGGTACGAGTTCTACTGATTCGTTCAGTATGGCATCTTCAGGTATAAAGAAAAGCTGTATTTTGGTTTCAGACGCTTGTAAAAATTCATAAGCTGTTTTAGCGTCAGGAACATTTGAACCATAAGCGACAATTGAGTCTAATTTTCTTTTAATGGCTCCTCCTACACCATCAGCGGCTCCTTTACCGTGTGACGCTTCGTAAAAGTTCCACGTGGAAAATGGAAAGCCCAACTCTTTCGTCAGTTTTGCGAAATAATAAAAGTTTTTCTTCTGTCGGTATTGTACAGTTGGGCCATCTGAATAAAAATGAATGCCGTCTACTTTGGGTAATTTCTCCTTGACCAACTTAAGCACAGGTAAGAGATGTGCCCAAATGGCATCTGGTCCGTGGTCTTTGATTGGAATTAAACTTGCAAAAGATTGATGACCTTTTTCGGTATATAATACCCCAGTGTGGAGACTGATCTGTTGTCTGGACCCATCAAAATGCATGGCTTGTATTTCAGTGGCTAATTTGCAAGAATAGTTTTCCGAAAAATCGACGTGTACAACGACAGTACGGTCATCTAAATTTTCTATGCACTGCCGATATTGTTTGTACTGATGCACGATATTGTAGGAATGGATTTTGAAACTTTGCAGTTCTTCTTGAAAGGCATCTAGGAGCATTTCTAGCGAACCAGTTTTTTTTTTCTATGACGTTTTTTTTTTCGTAATCTTTGTCACATTACAATTTTTTTTTGGTTTGTATTCATGAGATTTCAAAACCCATTCATCCCATGAAACATTATAGTTTAGATCTTTTTCACCCTTAGAAAAATCAATACGTTTGTTTTTGCAAAAATCACAGTCTCCGTAAGCACATTCCTTTGACTTTGAAGAACATACAACCATACTCAGTAACTCATCAAGATCTGTTGTTGCTATTAATCCAATTGACTTCAATGACGTGGCTTTCATTTGCAAATTTTCGTGCCTCTTGTAAGCGCAAGTTTCTCGTTTCTCGGCTTTTGGTGGTAATATATAAAAGGGTACCTTTTGAAAGTTGAAAATGATAATTTTCCTCCTTCTTCTCTATATTTCTGATATAATTTATGTAGAGTGCCAAGCAAATACTTTCTCTGTTTTTTTTTTGTTTTTTTTTTGTGTCTTTACTTCGTTTTTCCCTGCTGTCATCCTACTCACATCATCCCTTTCATAAAAGTTTTTAATTGTGTCTGTATTAATGGGTACTTTTATTTTTCTATTTAGTGTGACGAATTTTTCCTTTAAGACCTAAATAGGTAGCCATCTTAGTTTTCATACTGTATTTATTAATGTTATCACTTTTGGTAAAAACATCTTTAATTAATCGTTTTTCTTGAGTGTTTTTACTT